ATTACTTATACAGGAAATATGTTTTAATTATTTAAAATTTGGGTTATAAAAATAAATTATTCTTCTAAAAAATATCTTGATTTAAGATCTAAGATTCTTTGATATTTCAAAGCTTTTATTAACTCTCAACAATCTTTAATACGTCTGTTTTTTTTTTCCTTTACATATAATTTAAATTTTTATATGTTATAATTATAACACAAATTTCTTATCAAATATCTATATTTTTTATTACGAGAGAAAATATTTGTTCTACAAAATATTTTTGATTCTTGTATTTTATTCGATCCAAAATATGTGACATCTCCATTTCGATTTTTCTGCATTCATTTATTTACCTGGAGATAGAGTTAACCGCGAAAAATAGGAATTATGCACCTGCGTTGGAACACTTGTTGTTCCCACCGACAGAGAATTTCGTTCTCACGAGACGGCTCGTTCTCCTCGGCTTCCTCGGTCTCGTCGTTTTGGTGTAGCGAGACTTTTGACCCAGAACGAGAAGGAACAGTCGAGGAACGTCCCGAGCACGAGGAAGCGATAAATATAACGTTGTTTCAGCGGCGCGTGAAGTGTCCGCGGTGCGGGCGTCGTACACGACCAGAAATAGTGGCAGAGTTGTGTATTGCAGGTGCATTCTGTGAGCGAAATGCGCCTGTTTACGCGACTCCGCCTCATCTTGTTGCACTCGAATTACCGGGGCGATGCAAATTTTCGCGCGGCGAGACCACGTGTTATTTTCAACCATTAACTCTGAGCGATATACAATCAACGCGGTCAGTCATTTTTAATTTTCAAGTATAATTAATATAATCGAGAAACATAGAGACAGAAAAAGAGTAAATTTTGAATCGCACAGGAAGCCTTGTAAAAATTGCAAAAAGCAATTGAATTGCATGAATAAGTTTAATATGCATATTATTAAATCTTTATAATGAGTACTATGATACAGATGAAAAATTCTCTCGCATAACCGTTATACAAGTTATATAATTATATCAGAGTTGTATAATTATATTAAATGGTATCATTTAATTTAATGATCTTTTTTCCCGTTTTTTCTTTATCATTGTTTTTTTTACAAGTACAGATAGTTAACTGTACATATATACATACATACATACGTACGCATGCACGCAATTCATTGTAAGTTACGTAATTGTAAGTTATAAATTGGATGAAAGTTTAAATTGTCTCACTTTAACTTAATTGAAATTTTAATCGAAATAGAATTTGAAAGCACTCTCTCTTTCTCTCGCCAAACACGAAGTGCCTTCTATCTCAATCTCTTTGGGAGATATTTTACCTTTCGAAAAAAAAGCTTCCCCGAGCCCATCTGTATAACTTCGCCCACTATAATTTCCATAATTCGCGCGTTTTCCTGAAACGCGCGATCGCAGGTGTCCGTCGCGCCTCGCTTGTCGATTTTATCGAGGCGACGGGGCGATGAAAAAGGGAGCTTCGTTGCGCGGATAAGGGTGAGAAGGGGAGGGAAGAGAAGGGGGAGGGTAGGGAACAGTGAATATCGTTCCCTTTATAGCGGAGAGTGAAAATCGTAGGGTGTTTTTTAACATTTCGCGTTTTATCACGCGATCCGCGCGCGCAAAGCGTCTCCTTCCCTCGAAACGCGTATTCGCACAAAATGTGCATTAAGGGCGCTGTCCCCTTTCCTGCCTTCTGTACTCGTCGTCTGTCCCGGTTCCCCGATTGGTAAAACTGCGAATGTCATACGCATTGGGAACGTGAGAGGGGAGACGCGGATTTTAATAAACGGAATGGAAGTGCTCGCTAGAGATCGTTCCTCGAGTTTATACTTCAGTATTTCTTTCGATTAAAGCCGAGTATATAGACTTGAAAGTATTACTATCACGAGGCGATGCTGGCTATAATAATCGTTCGATTGTTTGACGATCGCTCATGGTGCGCAGGAATTATAAAGCATACACTAATTTTCATAACTTTACCGAACTAGAAAATAATTAATCGAGAATATATAATATTTAACAGAGAAATGAATTTATTCTTTCGATTTTATATTGAATGCGGAATTAATATGATATAAAAACAAATACATAATGATAGATTTAATTTAAAAACGGAATTGATATGTTGAATAAAGTTCACTGGATAACTTTTAAATATTACAAAATTCTACATATTACCGAGGAAAAGGGAAAATCTATATATTTTTTGTTTTAATATTTAAATTAAATATAACATTTTTAACGAAGCACTCATGGAGAGAGCTGATACTTTTTCATGTCGATCCACGCGAATCGTCGCGAGAGATATGTACGCACATTCGAGGATTAAAAAGGGGGAAGCGCACTTTTATTTTTTAACATTCGTCGTCACGGTCGTCGTCTGCGCCAGAGGTCAAAAGTTCTCGCTCGTATAAGCCGATCATTTCATTTTTCGCAACTGGCGGGATGAGATCTCGTCGTCGCCGACGAGATATTCCGTCAGTTTCCTATGAAATATTTCGAAGCCGTCAAGATCGCGTCTCACGGGAGACGCGATCGGGGGATATGTCGTATGGGATTTCATGGGATGCACGCGGGCTCTGAATGCGAAACCCCGTTCGACGGCCATTCGACATTCCGGCTTACGGCTCATTCATAAGTTATCGCGTACAAATGGACGGCGAAAGGACAAAATCCGATTTTCCCGAGCGCGGGAATTTAATAATTTCCAAGGTTTTACACGGGATGTGGCAAATTGCGCCGATGTCTGAGGCATGTCTGCGGCTGTTGTCTCTCGTTGTAATGAATAGTTTTGATATACATAGTTTTGCAAAGGGTAATTTTTGCATGATACTAATGTTCGATAATTTTAGGACTTGAAAATTTAGAGACTTCTTGCCATATATATATGAGCAATTTTATGATAACGTTTTATAAAAAATATTTTTTTACCCAATGCTAATATTTGACGATAATTTCTTGATTATATAAAAAAATAAATTGCATCGAAAAGAGTTCACCGTCTTACTGCAATTTTCTCGATATCATAAACAGTTTGCATAGAATTTTAAATAAATGGCATTACATATACATATCATTACTCCTCAAGACGCTCTTTCACAAGAAAACTATGAGATCAGAGCAACTTTAATGACGCTTTCTTGCTTTCAAATTAACAATATACTTCTCTCGCAAAGACATGAGAGACATACGGTAACGTAACTCACGTGCTGAGAAGTATCGCGGATCCTTCCGGCGTTCTCGTTAGTGCACGAGCGAGCTGCACGAGCTGCAGCATCTCGACGTGCTGTATTCCTCTCCCTTTCTTCTTCTCTCTCTCTCTCTCGTACGCGGAGAGGAATATAGTGTTACATTGCAAAGACGAAGGGGACTCGACGCCCGCTAATGCACGTGCACATCCGACACCGGCATCGTTCGAGGAATATTCGCGCGACGGGTGTACCGTTACCGGGCTGCGGACACTCCGCTGTATCTCGGTTATTGCGGATTACGTTGCGCGAATAGGAAGGAGTGCGCTACGATTTCTTCGGTAAATCGCACTCACCTTGTCATCCGAGTCTCCATAGGCATCGAAAATGTACGATTTACCCTTGCGCTCCCAAAACCGAGTCGCGATAAAGAATTGTTGACGTTAATTTCTCGATAGTAATTATTGCTTAAAGAAGACTCTCTTTTAATTATCACTTTTTGTAAAAATATATTTCATTACATCTCATTATATATGCAAAAGAAAAGATAGATTCTTTATTTTAAAAGATATTTAATTTTACTTTAAAAGAGAGAGAGCTCTCTCTTTCATTCTTTTTTATACATCTTCTATTTAAAAAGTAATTCAATATTTTTGTATTAAATCGATTCGAGTTAAAGTAGGATTTTAAATTGTGCAGTTTATTTTATAACATACATATATACATTAAATGAGCAGGTTAAGCAACTCGTTTCGATGTAATTATGAATCGTCGCGTTGGCCTGCAGGTTTTTTACAACGACTATGCGATACCGTCGTTACGATGCCAGCATTTTTGCCGGCGGTAATCTTATTTTTCTGCCAACTCTTCAAAGGCGTCCGCTTCTTCCGTCGTTTTTACTCCCGTTGTAGAATGTCAGGCACGGCGAGCGCGAAATAACTCGCTCTCGGTCGTCGCGTTTCCCGACGTCGGAAGACGTTACGTTGCAATTTTTACGACACGCACGTAAAGGCGGTTCCCGCTCGACAAATTAGGTTTCTCGAGCACACGAGGAACGTTTTCGTCCTCGATGACGACGTGGACGAAGTATCGAGTTGTATTTTAATCCATAACGCGCGAATCCGAGACTGCTCGATCCTTCGCTAACTTCCGGAGCATTCTTCTCTCCCTTTTTCTCTGTCCCTTTTTATTTTACGACTTAACGATCTAGCAATTGTGCGAAGTTATAAAAGAGCGAAGTGCGTTGCTGAAAAAGAGGATAAACGGCGTGGCTAAGTGCCGTTGCACGTTTCGCGCAGAGTTGCCTCTCAGATGCATTCGCGCGGCTTTTACTGCGAGAGGAAAGGTCGGGAAACATTTGTGAAGAGATTTTTAAAATGTCGGATTTTTTTCTGTTTTTTTTTTTTCTTGCAATCAGTCACGTATTAACGCAATGCAACTCTCGTCGAAAAAAGCATTTTTTTCTCTATCACATGCTGTATTACATGTTATTGGATCTTTTATACAAAAATATTTTTGAAGCGAAACTTTAGATGCTGTTACATTTTGTAAATTAATTATATATAATAATTATATAATAATTAAGATATATGTGGATACGTTTAACTATCTTGGAATTATATATTTACATCATCACATTTATTGAAATCTGTTGCTGAATAGCAACGAGAATAAACTTGAAAAATCTCCATCGCGTCGTTATTCGGTTTTTTCGGTCAATCAACTAATCTTAGAGGACATTGAACTATGATGTTGGACATAAAATAGTCTTAAATAAATCATTGGTTTCCTATTGTTAATTTAACTAATGATAATTCCGTTTACTTTGCAGGGCTTCCAGCGGCCGCGGACCCGACTCACCCCTCAGCTCGGATCTGGCGCTTGACAAGCCTCGTCCCATACCATCCCCCCGGTAAGCCAATTGATATTTTAGCACAATTACGTAATACGCTAATAGATGCTTTTACATTTTGTAAATTCAACTAGCATTCTTTCCCCTTTTTTCTTTCAAAAAAAGGGATAAGATATAATACCAAAAGAACTTCTTCCTGTTTTTGCTACGAGTTGATAAAATGGAGCCGGAAAATACTCACGATCTTAGAATACTGAAAACATATATATAAGAGAAAGAGAGAGAAAGCGAGAGAAACAGTCCAAAAATAAGACAAGATGATTTAAAGATGATTTAAATATTGAACTGCAAGGAACTATTACTTATCGCGTGATACGCGGCGGGAAAGAAAATTAATTGCGCCGGACTTGCATTATTCTCTTTTGCTCGGTCTTCTTAGAAAGAGAAGAGGTTTCCATCGAACATCAACAAATCGGTAAATCACGGGCGACGCACTTTTAGATAGCTTGCCAACGTGTACCGGGTGCAACGATCACCGCAGAAGCGCGGTCGGGATCTGGCGTTAGACACAGAAATACCGTGGCGGTGCATGATTCTAAGTGCTCCGTAATAGACTTTTGGGAAACAGGCGCTTTTAGAATTTCAGTGAGGGTGATTCACTTGCTCCTCTTCCCTCTCCTTCCTTCCCCTCCCTGTCATTCCGCGTGAGAATGCGAGGAAGAAGAGGGTCAGCGAGATTTCGCCGCGCTTCCATATGGACGCAGCTGTCGCGCGACGGATATGCGTGTGTTCGAAGCTTATATCGAAAAAAAAGCAATTACAATTGATTTAAATATATTTATACGTTACTAATTATCTTCTTTTAACGTTCCTATTTATTTTTGATCGATTACATAAATATTTGTTTTCTCTTCAAAAAACCGCGATTGACTACATTGGCGCTTTTTTAAATTTGCAAACTATAAAAGATACGATATTTAATCCGACATAACGATATTGAATGTCCTCTCGTTCTTTTTTCTCAAACTTGACAGTTTTTCTGTTAAATGCCGATATACTTCCATGTCTTTATTGATTCTGCATTTTTGTCGCCGCGCGACGAAAGCGGCACGGAGAAAAAGAAACGGGCATTTGCATAGGTACCTATGCATTTGCATACGCGTCGCGCAAAGAGACTTAAGGCTAGGTGATCTTAAAAGGTTTGTGAGAGAATAAGCATCGAAAGTGGAGCGGTTCCTACTCTGTAATCCTATCACGCAACGCCGCTCCTTGAGATTATTGACATTGATACGCAAATGCATCTGTCCGTGCAATATCGGTCATCGCGTCTGCACACTTGAACGCCGTGCAATGCTAACACTACGAAGAGAATCGTGGAGGGAATAGCCTTTGTCAGTACACTTAAAGTCGGTCATTCTCTTCTGCTTGCAAAATAAGACTCGGTCGTGCTAGAATGCATGCGTGTCGATGCGGGGCTATTGCCCACTACTGCACTGGTACGAATTAATTGTAAAATGTAATTAAATATAAAGCATTCTTATTAACGTAAAAAAAAGTTAAATAGAGCATTGAACATTTGTTATATTTGCAATATATAAAATAATATATTTATAGTACTAATATTAAAAAGCGATCGATATCAATAGTACGACTCTTTTGATTTAATTAAAAATTTCCTTTTGTTTTTTTATAATTTTAACGTGTTTGTATATGAACTCTTAGAAAAAATTATCCCCGCGAATTCGTGTGTTGATATTCGACACCCGGTATCGCGACATCTCACGCATCGGGACTTCCTGGTTCCCAGAGCGTTATGCGCACGCATTCGCGGGCGGGCGTAAACACGCCCGCACACATACACACACGCACGCATGCACGCGAGAGCTCGTCCGCGCTATTCGCGCATCCACGTTTCGAGCGCGCGCCGTGGAAGATCAAAGTCATCCGTGCTAGATATTTCATCGCGGGCGTCTGAGCGGCTGCCAAGAGCTCCAAATGCGGCGGTCCGAGAGGATTTGCGAGCGGAAGTGAGAGACTGCGGGGAAAGAGCGAAAACATTGTCGTCGGACGCGGATCGAGGTTGCAGGGTGATGAGGGTGATGCTATGCGATCATTTCTTGCGAGAAACCCGCCGCATTTTTTGTTTTTATTGCACCTCAATTAATGCATAAAATAGAGAGTCCCGACATTTTTAACTCTATAGGGAATAAAACTTGTTAGAGAATATGGGAATTTTGCTCTCATATTTTTTAATTACTTGCTAAAAAAAATACGCAGAGCAATTCTGTCTGCGAATTTAAATTTTATTCGCATTTGATATCTAATTTTATTCCTCGCAGTTGCAGCACATTTAGCGTTCCGTAATATTTTTTCCGATATCGAGTTATTATTCCATCGAATTTCGCGATTATGAATTATTCGTCTGACTCTGGCTAGTTTGTCAAGCGCCGGACGCCAGAATTACCGGTCGATATCAAGCGGTCGGGCTTGATGAAATATGAATATTGAAGTCGTAATGCACAAACAAAATTATTACAGCTCTTACGCAACGCGCGAAATGACATTTTCCGAGCCTCGCGCTCTTTTCATCGCGAGCGTTTCTCGAGCACGATACTCTTTGAAGGCGCAGTTTCTCGGATTCGCGGATGAAAGCGCATCTCGATCGTGACTCCCGCATCTCCGGGCGAAATTTATGCGCGAGTCTCTCTAATGATTCTCTCTCTAATCGTTTATCGACCGTCGTAAATCCACGCGCGAATGTTAAATCGGAGTTTGCTCGGTTTCAATCGGAAAGTCGTGATTACGTTGTAGATCGAAATGGAAAGTGCAAGGAATATGGATGGTGTTTCTCCAGGCGGTCATAAAGGGACGATCGAGATTTCTAATCTGTAAGCATCGATTAATTAGTAGTCTATTATTTTTATAATTATGTGGGAAACATATAGAAAAATACACATATAAAAAATTTAAACTTGTTTTAGACAAGCTTCTCTTGTTTTTGCGTTCTTGAATAATAATCATATAATTATATATATTATATATATCATATAATTATATATAATAATTATATAATAA